ATTATTAGAGTTTAAGTTAGTTGGTTTGTTTTTTATTCTTTTACTAAACTCATTTAAAAAATCTCATTTTTTGGGGGTTAAAACTCATTTAGAAACTCTATTGCTACCAAAACCTTGTGTGTGTGAGTTTTTTGGGCGATCAAGACTCTTTAATTGTTACGTTTCATGAATTTTCAACCAAAATCAATTGATAAAGAATGAATTGACCTAAATTATTAATATATTAGTCAAGACCTCTTAATTTTTAGTGTAACGCTATCTTACATACTATTAAAGATTAAAGTCTCGTGATTCAGCAATCCTTAATAATTTCAATACTCCCTCAGAGATATTTGTCATGACCATTAATTTTGGGTCCAAAGGTAAATGCGACTTCTGGACCGGATAACAAGAGTGTGTAGACTGAATTCTGATACCATGCTAAATTTTATGAATTTCCAACCTAAAACTAATTAGTAATGAATATATTAATCTAAATTACTTAAATATATTACTTAAAGTCTTTTCCAATTCCAATTTTTAATATGGATATATTTTACATCATCATATCATATTATTAATTGGCAAGCAAGTTGGGCTGTGGTTGAGAGTTATTGTGGTTGATTATTTTTTGCCTCTCATATGAAAAGACTTCAATTACTCTTAATGAAAATTAATACTCTTAATAAAAATTATGAAAATTATGAAAATTATAAAAACCATCAAATAATCTCTACCATATGTCGATAACATAGAAGCTCTAAATAATCTCTCACTCATTCAACATTATAAATACTTTTATTTAGAATCTTTAGGTCACGCTACTTTCCCTCATCTTAATTTACTTTAACAATCCTTAATAAAATTATTAATTAAATTAAACTATGCGATTGGTTTGATTTTGAAGCGGTTTTGTGTTATTTAATATCGATATGGTTTGGTATGTTTCAATAGATCGATAAATGATATGTGACTTGGGTCATTATGTTTACTAAAACCCTAGATTATAAAATCTTAGATTATAGTTATATATAAATGCCTCCGACCTGTTTGAGTATTTATGTTACATCTATGGTCTGGCCGTTGTGTTTCTTGGGAAGACAGCCGTGTTTATGTAACATGACTATGGTAATCTGTCTTATTTATTTTTTTGTAATCTTTAATTATGGTTTTGTTGTTTCGTGTGTTTGGTTTAAAGTTTTGGTGTGCCTTCAACCTTTTGTTTAAAGGTTTTGGTCGTAGTGGTTCTGAATCATGTGTTTTGTTTTACTTAACTTTTTGATTAGGTGTCGAGAACATAGAGAGAAAAAGAATCGGAAGGAAAAACTTTCGAAAAGCGATTCAAATTTGTTTGAGAGTCTGTATTTGTTTGTTTAGTTTGATCTAATCTATAGCCAATCGAAAAAGAAGCTGAATAGGAAGAATATGAGGAATGAAGCTGAAGTAATTTGCATAAAAGGTATTTACTACTTTATATATCTCCCCGCTTAGGCTTGATCATTATGTTTCGATTACCAATCTATTGTCTATTATGTTATTTCGTTTCCCTATTGTCTGTTGATATCTTCCACTCTTGGAAGCATCAGATAATGTTTACTTTCTATGTTTTTTTCATATATTTAGTTCATTGATTTCTTTTAAATCTTCATTTATTTCTATATTATGATATTTCTTTCACTTTGCTCTGACAAAAGTTGTATTATATCATTGTAAGTATTTAATTTAGTTTTTCTTTATGTGAGTTCATCTTAGTATTTATAATTTAAAAAGATTCTGTTTGCAATTATATCACCATGTTCTATAATGAAGTTTTTAAATTAGTATAGAAAATTCAAATCTGATTTGAATTTCTTATTTTGTAAAGAAAGGCCTCTCACTTGATTTGCTGCTAATCTCCGCGCCTCTCTTCCTCGAACTTCAGTTCACGTTCTTTATCTCTCCATTAAACAGAGTTGTTGAAAGTTAAGAGTCAAGGGAAGATACTAACAAATCACTAATCAATTAATCATTAGTTGACGTTTTTGTAATCTTTGTTTGCATAATCCCGACTCAACAGATTTTGTGATTTAAAATGTGTGTTTTCCATTATTTGGGAATGGAATGTCAAACAGAATGTAGGAAAAATCGGTGGAGCATGCAAGTGAAATTGTGATTTGTTTCTTTGTTTTTTTATTGTTTTTTACTCGCTTTCCAATTAATTCTCTCTGTTTCATTTGGTCAGTCATCACTTTCCAGGCATCGAACATGATCATCAAAGATGTGGTTGCCTCCACGCTGCTCTCCACTGGTTTGTTTGCCACTACGTTCACAAGCTGAGGTGGCAACCCGATTCAGACACTTTTGAGGTTGATATGATGACTTGGCTTGCCACATTTACCCCAAAGACTCTGAAATTCTCAGACATACGTTATCGAGACACGTAAATGCCGTTAGTGAGATTCAAAGTGGAAGGGAATTACTACTTTTTGGATGCAGAGCATAGCTCCATCAAAGCGTTTAATCTATCGTAATGAGGAGGTTTTTCTCATAAGTGCAAGATTGAGAGGAAAGATAGGAAAATAGCCTTATTTTTTATCAGGAAGTGTAATTAACTATATAGTTAAAAAAATATATATAAAATTTTGGTTTCTTCATCGGGTTATTTATTTTGTTCTCTCTGATTTTAAACAATTAGCATGTATATGAAAATCTGATTGCCACTCTTGAGTTTCGTTAATTTAGGAAAACATCTTCCCCAAATTCAGTTTTTTTTTTATGCTTCCAATGAGGTTTGTTTGATTTATGTTTTTCTTTGGTTTACTTCAACTATTGTTGAATTGTAAAAATTATAATCATTGGAGAAAAGTAAAACTCAAAAAACAAGAACATCATATCATTAATTAAGAAGCAAATTGGACTGTATGTGAAAATTATTATGTTTAATAAGTTTGGTTTAAGAACAATTATACTAAATAACAAAATTAATATATTTTAGGTAGTTTTGTCGAAAAAGTAATTAATCTTAATAAATTGAATATATATATATATATATATATTTATGGTTATATCTTGATTTAGATTAATTCAAAAATGATATTTTCATTTTATTTGTAAAGATAAAAATGTATCTATATTTGTCGGATTATAAAAAAAAGATGGTATAAATCCCAAATTTTTATTCCTATAAATAGTGTAATGTATTTGCTACTTTATTTCATATTATTTTTTAAATTTAGGTTAGTTCATATAAATTTTGATATTTTGTTATTTGTTTGTTTTCTTTGAATTTGATAAAACAAAAATTCATAGAAAATTGACAAGTTATTTGATTATTTATTCATTTTGATGTTTTTATAGTACTCTAATTTTATAAAAATAATTTTCAAATTGTATGAAAATAATTTTCTTTTTTTCTTATACACAAAATTTTAGTATAGTTAATTTATTATATTTATATCAGAATTAATGTATTAATAATATTAAAAGTGATTTATCCGCGCAAGGCGCGGGAGACCACCTAGTAATATATAAAAGTTGATGGCATAGTGCATTGAGGGCGTCCACATATAATTAAAAAACTCGATATGATTTGTCCACATCAGCATATTCATTAAATAAAAAATGTTAAGTATGATTAGGACGGAAAACTTGATTTAATTGGTCGACATCAGCTTTTAAATCAAACAAAAAATTATTAAGTATAATTGAAACATTAAAAGTTAATTTAACAAATTATGTCCAACAAAAAAAGTAAATTCAGTCTGATTGATCCAAATCAATATATTTATTAAATCAGAAAATGTTAATATTGTTTAAAATTTTAAAAGTTAAACAAAAAATTAACAATTAACAATACATGTATAAAAAAAGTAACTTTTATCAATTATCAATTTAAAAAAATCTACAACAACTCGATTTAACAATTAAAACAATGAAAACTGAATAAAAATATAACATAAAACTCTTGGAAGACAAGATGGAGAAGGAAAAAATGGTTTTGCAAAATCATTACAGCTTTCTAACAAATTGAAATGGGAATCAATTTGAATCATGGATTATATATACAGTGGTACATAACATCAATAAGACTTTTAATAAAAAACTAAATATTTGAACACATAAACCTTCAAGAAAAAAAGAACTATAGAAATTCTATGGAAAACAGAAAATAATACCAAAATCTTCGCAAGATTATATTTCTCTAAATCAAATGTATATGTACGTCAAAGGTGAATAATTCGATATGTGTCATTATTATTATTTTACCTAATAATGTTTTTTAAAAATTTATAAGTAAAAATAGGATAAGTTACACATTATATACTAAATTCTCTTATATAAATGAAAATTTCTATAAATATATATAACTTTTAATAATTTTAAAGATAATAGCTAAAAAAAAATAAACCAAAATATTAATACAGACGTAGCGCGAGTTATATAACTAATACTCTCTAAAGATTAAAGCCTATAACCCAGTAGTCCCTAATAATCTCAATATTATTTTACTCATATATGGAAAGAAAAGAAAATTTATATTTATGTAAAAATTTGGAATAATGTTTATGTAATATTTGGATACTAACACACCGAGAACATCCAATCTAAACTGTACTGAATCACAAGCGGATACACAAACTAAGGAGAGTGTATTCAAGTTAACATTTGAAAGGAGAAGGATTTGAGTTTAATTGAGTTTTAAGATGGTTTGGTTAAATTCTGGAAATTGTTATGATTTGATATCAAAATTCTATCAAACTTCACCTAGAACCATGAGATTTGGATTCTTATATTTTTAACTAGAAAATTCCATCAAAGCATCTTAAAGTCACTCCAAGTTTCTTAAGATGGTTTGGTTAAATTCTGGAAATTGTTATGATTTGATATCAAAATTCTATCAAACTTCACCTAGAACCATGAGATTTGGATTCTTATATTTTTAACTAGAAAATTCCATCAAAGCATCTTAAAGTCACTCCAAGTTTCTTAAAATCCACTTCTTAAATTATTTCCAATAACAGTGAATTTGAAGTTACATTTTCAAATCATTAGTTCAATAATATTGAATTTTAAACAACTTTTTAAAATTTAAGTTTCAATAACAAAGGGTACACAAACTATCAAAGTGAAAAGCAAAAGAAAGAAGAAAAAAAGTGAATATACTGGTGACGAAGTTTTGGAAATAAGAATTCAATTCATACAGTAATATTCTATTTGCCAATGGGGAAAATATCTCGAGAGACAAGACCAAATGTTAATAAAATGATCATGAGCAGCGAGAGTTTTTAGACAAAAACAAGAACGTTCTTGTACCGTGCTTCAAGTATTAAAGCACCTAGAAGTATATGAGTCTACATAGAGATCTCGGATTCAACGAGGACTTAACTCGGTGATTGATAACTTGTTCAATGAAAGAGTACCAGCTTCACCTTTGACTTGATTCGTTGCATCGGTTCTATGCAATTCGGGCGGAAGATGTAGGGTGAAACCAGCAGCTGTAGGTAAAGGAATCGAGATAGTGTCACTACCAAGCCATTGAATAACCAAACTCATGGTCGGTCTCTTTGCAACATTCTCTTGAACGCACAACAAACCAATGTGGATGAACCTCATGATCTCGCTTGTTGGGCTTCTACTCAAGACAGGATCGATGATACTCGCAGCCTCTCCCGCAACCCAACATTTCCATGCCTATACATTATCATCATAACTCTATAATCAACAAAATATTGAGATTCATTTGTGTTATGTAAGAAAAATAAGTGATTACAATATGCTTACATGTGCAGGGAGCCCCAAGGCTTCGAAGTAGTTCTGGTTACTTTGACCGGTTATCATCTCCAGAAGCACAACCCCGAAACTGTAAACGTCTGTTTTCACTGATATTCTTCCGTTCCTAGCGTATTCAGGAGCCATGTAGCCACTGCAATCATGCAATTGTAACATGACATGTGATCATAATCCAACAGTCACTGATCTAATACGACATTGATGATGAGCCTAATATCAAGAATCTCTAAAATTTCTACTTCAAAAATACTTTCTCTATCATCTATGTGCTGAAACAGAGCATCAATGACTAAAACAGAGCATCCATGAGTATCTATGTTAGAAACAGAGCATACTTACAGGGTTCCAACGCGTCTTCTTGTCACTCCTCGAGTCTGGTCTAAGTTAAATAACCTCGCCATCCCAAAGTCTGAAACTTTAGGGTTCATCTCAGCGTCTAAAAGAATATTGCTCGCCTTCAAGTCTCGGTGAATAATCCTCAGCTGAGAATCTTCGTGTAGATAAAGAAGACCTCGCGCGACGCCTTCTATAATTCTGTACCTTACATTCCACGTTAGAAGCAAACGCTTCTCTTGATCTGCAGATTTCAAAGAAAGGCATCAATACTAAAACATTGTAGATCCAAAAATGCAGTAGCAATCTCGTCAATAGGCTCACCGAATATGAAGTGATCAAGACTTGAATTAGGGACATGCTCGTAGACAAGAATCTCTTCATCTCCTTCATTACAGAACCCAAGAAGCTTAACTAGATTCCTGTGTTGGAGTCTTGTCAAGAGTAAGACCTCATTCTTGAACTCCAAATCTCCTTGCCCTGAACCTCTTGTTAATCTCTTTACCGCTATTTCTTGCCCACTCGGTAATATCCCCTGAAAACACATTCTCGTGTTATGAGATCACTCACACATCTAAACATTTTGAAAGCAGTTTTAAAAGTTTCTCTACCTTGTAGACAGATCCAAATCCACCTTGTCCAAGCTTATTTTCAGGAGAGAAGTTATTGGTTGCACTTAGAATCATGTCAAGATCGAACCGTAGCATAAACTGACCATCAGAAATACAATCCTCCTCTTCACATTCTAAACACACACAAAAAAAAAAAAAAAAACCTATGAGCAAGAATGCATCAAGAAGTTGTGTGAAAAGCATAAGAGCATACCACTGGTTTCATTTTTCGATTTTCTCATCCGACCATAAGCTCTGATCAAACCAATGAGCACGAAAAGATTAATGACGGTAGGAACCACAACTATAGCGATAATTCTTCCTGCAAAATTAGCTCTCATTTTTTATATATATATATGTGAATCTCAGATAATTGTATAAGTGACAATGAACATCAAACTCATTTGTTATCAAACCTTTCATGCCACTAACAGAGATTGCTTGTGCTTGAGGAAACAAAGGTCGAGGAGGAGCAGGAACTCTTGTTATATTAGCGAAAGCTCCGTAAAAAGGAAAAAGATTCCACCGGAAAAGACAGCTCGGTCGACCAACTGCACCTCCTTGTTTCCCCCAATTAAAATCTTTAAAATACTTAACGCACTCTTCCAAACAGCTCTTGCACTCCCCTGAAGTTATGTCCGGTGTGCATTGCATCATCATATAAACATCAGGAAAATCCATAAACCCTGCTCTTGCAGCTCCGTAATACTTGAGAACCGATGTGGAATTCTCAACGGTTGCAGCCTCGAGTGTCCGGCTAACCATTGTTTCCCATTCTTGGCGGAAAAGGGTCATGTTCTTGGTCGATGAATCGATACTAACGCGATCCGGGTCGTTCGTAGCTGGTCCAAGATCGAGTCTCCGAAATGTTGAGTTATCCGTGGTACGTACAAGACAAGATACTTGGTCTGCATCGTCGCTGTCCCAATCGAACGATTCAACGCGATTAGAACAGCTTTTTTTTATCTCTTGAATGGCTTTTTCGACGCAGTTTATGCAAGCTTGACGCTCGTAGCCTCTTCTGCAGAGGGCAAGAGCGTGAACTCTATCGAGTGAAGCATTGTAGAATCCATTGTTTGTGATGACTTTAGAAGCAAGAGAAGAGAAGAGGGAGTCGCGGTTTTCGTGGTAGCTACTGTTGGCGAGGAAGGAGTTTCCGTCGCAGAGGAAACCGGCGTTAACTCCCGTGAAAGTTTGAAGAAGAAGAAGGAAAAAAGAGAGGAAAATCGTAACAGAGTTTTTCATTGTGATTGTTAAATAAAATTATGGGTTTGTTAATTTTTATATATGTAAAAAGCAAAAAAAATAAAATAGGTGAATGAGAATATAATATGGGTTTTGGTTGAAAATTCATCTACTTATCGATCCCAGCTCTTTTCTTCTACAGACTGAATCAACGGTCATGTCTCAATGACCATATCATTCTCATTCTCATGTTCTCACATTTGGAGTCTTCGTCAATAAATATTAATAAATCGCAACCCTTTGAATACGGCTGTGTCAATTACAACTCGTGGGCGGCGACTCTTGCGTCTGATCTAGCTCTCAAGTCAAGTGTGTGAGAGTAAATTAGCCACTAGGTCCCCCCACTGACGAAAAGTAATACAGTATCTAGGTCGCATGGAAATTTCCCGTGCCGTGCTATATTTCTATAAATATATATAAAAAAATAAAAATAAAACCAACTTTTCTGGTTTAGGAACATTCATCTATTAAAGTTGACATTAATGGTAGTTTTTGATCATTCCTAATATAAATTTTAAATATTTTATATAAAATGTGTTTGTAAAAATACTTAAACCAAACTTTTATAAATTTGGTTTGCATGGCCAATAGAATTGATAATGGGCTATTTAGTGAACTAATTAAACTTGTTAGTTAAATCTCATTGTAGTTATCTAACTGCAAACGTGAGTCATGTTTTATGATAGTGTTTAATTAGTTCAAATTTCTTGCATCATTGTTTGACTGTTCGACATTTCTTATGATAGTAAAACTCACGGTGTTATGCTTATCCCTTGTTTTACTTATTGCACTTATCTTTTTTCAATGCCTAGCTTTTAGAACCAACAACCGAAAAATTACAATTGGTGTAGATCAGTTAATTTTCAGATCCACAAACTTAGTTCTTGTGAAATCGATCATTACATATTATTTTGGTGAAATCAATTCTTAAATATTACATTTGTAACTTGTTTATAGCTTTATTAATTATAAATTTTAGCGTTTATTAGAGTTTTTTCCATTAGATAAATGAAAATAGAGTATTTTAAAGTTTTTTCAAAAGTATTTTTGATATATTGCCATATGTTGTTATTTAAAAATTTAACATCTCTATTTGTTTTAACATTGACTTAAACATAAAAGAAATGTGTCATCTCTAAATCCTTGTATTATATATTTGATATCAAGAAAAGAAAGTATTACGCGAATTTATAATATTTTGATTATTTTAATTTTACATGATAGGATTAGGATTCATATGAAATGTTAAATACTTCATAAAACAAAACGAGGGGAATATATGTTTTTGATTCACTGATTGATAACTCAACGAGAACTCAACTCCGTTAAGACAATGCTCATTGACATTGTACTACTTTCAGATTGGGACTGAAGACTTCCAGTGAAAGCAGGAGCGTTAGGTAAAGGAATGATGATAGTCTCACTGCCAAACCAAACTATTACTGAGCTCATGGTTGGTCTCTTTGCTGGATTCTCTTGAACACATAATAGGCCAATCTGAATCAACTTAGTTATCTCGTTTATCGGATCTACTGCCAGTAAAGGATCAATTATAGTTTCAGGCTTTCCTTCAATCCATCTCTTCCATGCCTGCACCAAGAAAATATGTTTTAACTCTCTTTGTCCCCATATATGTTAAAAAAAATTATGAAGCAAAGACTCATAAATTGTGAAAGAAGCTTACAAAAGCTGCAAGTCCTTCTCCTTCAAAGCTATTGTTTCTTTTCCCACTTATCATCTCTAGAAGCATAACACCGAAGCCATATACATCAGATTTAGCTGATATTTGACCGTGGTTCAGGTATTCAGGAGCCATATATCCACTGCAAATAAGCAGAAATTCATGATTGTTTGATCCAAGAATGTTTCAAACATTCTGTTAAAAAAAATTTACTTATATATCTTCAAAGTTTGCTGATATGTTCTTACCGAGTTCCAGCTATTCGTCTTGTTTCAGCACGAGTCTCATCAGTGTCGAACAACCTCGCTGTCCCAAAGTCTGCAACTTTAGGGTTCATCTCTGCATCTAGAAGGATGTTGCTGGCCTTCAAGTCTCGGTGAATAATCTTCAGCTGAGAATCTTCATGAAGATAAAGAAGACCTCGAGCAATGCCTTCTAAAATTCTGAATCTCACATCCCATGTAAGAAGCGAACGCTTCTCTTCATCTGTGGATTTCAGAGAAAACAACTCTTTTGCTGAATATTTCAAGAAGTATTGTAACTAAAATGCGGCGTCTCAAGAAGACTCACCAAATATAAAATTATCAAGACTTGAATTAGGGACAAGCTCGTAGACAAGAATCTCTTCATCTCCTTCATTACAGAACCCAAGAAGCTTAACAAGATTCCTATGTTGGAGTCTTGTCAAGAGTGAAACCTCATTCTTAAACTCCATATCTCCTTGTCCTGAACCTTTTGATAATCTCTTCACCGCTATCTCTTGCCCGTTTGGTAATCTCCCCTGAAACCGGTTCTCAAGATCTGTTACTCTCATTCAAGACCAAGGATCAAGTAATAACTCATTAATTTGTAAACTATATTGTTATTACCTTATGAACCGTACCAAATCCACCTTGTCCAAGCTTATTGTCAGAGGAGAAGTCATCGGTTGCCATTGAGATCATACCAAGATCAAATCGTAACATAAATTGACCAGCAGAGTCAGAGTACTCTGCGCTACCAACTAAAATCAAAATAAGAAAAATAAGTCTCACTCTCTAAAAGTCACAAGATGTATTCAAGCAAGAAAGAAGGTTACCATCGGTTATGTAACTCATGTTGTTTGATTTTCTCCTCCGAGCATAGAGTTTTATGAAACCGATAAACACCAAAAGATTAATGAAAGTAAGTATTACAATTATCACGATAATTCCGCTAGGCCCTAAGCTTCTTCCTACAAATTATTAAACCTTTATTTTAGTCGAAGAACCTCTTTTATCATATACTTACGAAATATAGGAATGCTCTGAATATTTTGTTTTACCTTTCTTGTTTGTTATAGAGCTCTCCTTTTCCTGAGCCTGGGGTCGAGGAGGCGCGGTAACTCTTGTTAAATTATTAAAAGCACCATGGAAAGTATACAGATCCCACCTGAAAAAACAGCTGGGACGATTTACTTCTCCTCCTTGTCTTCCCCAAAACTGGCTTTTAAACAACGTCACGCAATCTCCCAAACATCTCTTGCAATCTTGGGGAGTTATGTCGGGTGTGCACTGCATCAGCATGTAAACATTTGAATACTCCGTGAACTCGGCTCTTTCGGCACCGTAGTACTTAAGTACCGAAGAAGTTTCAGTTTCCGTGGCAGCCTTGACGGTCCGGTTAACCATTGCGTCCCACTGATGCTCGAAAAGGGTAATGTTTTTCGATGGCTCGATACTAAGTGGACTTGGGTATATAATAGCTGGTCTGAGCTCGAGTTTCCCGAAAGTGGTGTGGTTTGAGGAGCGTACAAGACAAGAAACATGATCTTCATCGTCTTTGTCCCACGTGAACGAATCCATACGGTTTAGACAATTTGTTTGAATACCTCGAGCCGCGCTTTCGACACAACTTATACAAGCTTGTTGCTCGTAGCCTCTTGCGCAGATGACAAGAACATGAGCTCTGTTCGGACTGTTGCCTAGTGAAACGTTGTAGAATCCACCATTAGCGACGACTTTATCGGGAAGAGTAGAGAAGAGATTGTCGCGATTCTGAACGTAACTGCTGTTAGCGTTGAAGAAGCTTCCGGCACACCCGACGGCGTTAACGATTTCTAAGTTTTGAATGACAACAAGAAGAGAAGAAGCGAGGAAGATCATCAAAGCAGGGACCTTCCCCATTTCTTTTTTTTTTTATCAATGAAAAAAAGTAATCAATTTTAGAACGTGAGCCTTGTCAGTTTTATATAGGTGAGATGAGAAAGTGCGTATTGGTTGACTTTCAAAGACTCAGAATGTGTTGGTCTTTCTTTTTTGGTTCTGGTCAAAGAACTGTGATCCTTGGTCGTTGGCTGCTTAGAGAGCAACCCCAATAATAACATCATTAATATGGGTCTTAATAATTAATTATTAATATTTGATAGATTTTTTTTTCATTTCCTGTTATCTGTTCTTAAACCAAAAAAAAAAAAAATCATATTTTAGACTCTGCATAATTTTTTAATTCAGTTATATTACTAAAAATTTGTCATTAGACCCCTATAGATCTGCATTGGGGTTGGTCTTAGTTATGCTTTGTGTATGCTTTTTAACTCATCTTATGGGTAAATGAAAGTATGAATTGTAGTTAAAACATTACCAAAAAAGCTATGGTTTCAAATTCAGTTATGTTCCGTATGTCGTTTAAGTTCCAGTTTCAAGTTCAGTTTCGTTGAATTGAAATTGGCATAACTAAACTGGTCTTAATTAGCAAAAAGGTTATTGTTCCGTATGAATTCATCCATAATTATCTTAAAATAAAGCAGACCAATCCATTAATGTAGACACCCATCTTCATTAAATTGGAGAGTAATATCCCCATAGTATTGTTTTTGGTACAAGTTGACTAAGAAAATACCAATTGAAGCATATGCATCATTTGTTATGCATCATTAGATTCTTCAATTTGTTTCACAAAAAAAAAAAAAAAAGGTTTTGCACTTTTTGTGAAATTGGAAAATACTGTTTAGATAGTCTTTTTGTGTGTGAGTGTTTTCCCTCTTTTTAGTTAGTCTTATATGGTTAGAAATAGAATCATATAGAGCTTATAAATATTCATACAATAAGGATAATATATATATATATATAACAATAATATTTTTTGACCAAAAAAATACTTATAAAAAAATAATAAGTGCGGAAAATATAAAGCATAGAATTAGTACAAAAGGTACATCATTAGTTAATTAATTACAATACGGAGGATTTTGATGATGTTTTTTTTGTCAAGTGGATTTTAAAAATGTAAGAGGTCGGTTTATTGCTAATAATGTAAGGTCATCTATATAATTTTTTCTGTCCCCTTCAACAACATGCAATATAGTAATTAAGATAGAGGTTCTGTCGTGCTGTATATGTCCAAAAATCTTGGTTAGTTCTGCAGTATGGCTAAGGCTTTTTAGAAAAATAGAATATGCATTCCAAAGGAAGGACCCTGATACTTTCATGAAAACTAACACCTTTCAATATTTGTTTTTTTTTTGTTTTTGTCAACAACACGTTTCAATTTTAAAACAAAACTTATATTTTGACAAAAAAGTTTATGAAAGAGCTTGGCTCATTGTCAAAACAAAAATTTGGGTCAGACGTTAATGGATGTAGATATTTATGGAGTTTTTGGATTTTAGTTTTTAGTTTCTAGTGAAAAAAATATAAGTTAAATAGAATTTAGTTTTTCAAAAAAAAAATACTAGGAAAGATAAAGTAAAAGCTAGTTTTCTAGTGTTTAAAATGAGTTCAAAACAAAACAAAAAAATAACGAAAAGCTCACTTAAAAACTGCTACCATTCGATACATATATTTTATAGGAAGTAGCGTGAGAGTTTCATGAAAGAGAAGACCAAGACTCTTCATTCAGATCATCAGATGTGGATAGAGGAATTAAGTTTTATATAATAAAAATATGTGATCCGTTGGACTGACAAATTTTCTGACTCGAGTCCGTGTTAGAGTTAGGTAGATATCCAGACTCCAGTTCTTCGATATCTAATAAAATTTAGAATAAAAGCTGAGAAGTTCACCCTAAAAGCCGTACATTCAAAATTCTCTCTACCGCCTCCTTGTACGGACAGTTTTGGAAAACATGCTTTGTTCCTTGAATCTCCGACAAGTTGGTCTCCTGTCTCATGGTCTATCCAAACACTCTCACCATTAGTGCTCTGCGTCGGATCTCTCTTCCCCCTACGCCTTCTCGAAACATCCTCCGTTCTCAGTAACGTGTATTTACCATTTTCTAGCCCCGTGCTAAGTACTTCAAGTCGTGCTCCTACCGCTCCTTCCATATCAAACAAAGCAGATCTCTGCCCCTCGTAACAATGTCTCAAGCTATCTCGAGGAGTAACCAAAAATCTAACAGGCAGCAAGAGGAAGAGGAAGACCTGATAATCCTATCGGATGTGGATAACTCAAGTCTGATAGCTCAATACAACCTCAGCCTCGTGGGGAGGATGTTCCACCAAGAAGGACGTAGCACAGAGGCTCTTATCGCTCTCCTCCCAAGAGCAAACATCTGGGACGTGGACGGCAGAGTCAGGGGGTAGATCTGGGCAATTTCCGGTTCCAGTTCGACTTCGACTCTGAGCTCGATCTACAGAAGGTGCTGAGTAAATGCCCCTGCCACTTCAACAACTGGTCTTTCTCGCTTGAGCGCTGGATCCCGCATGTGAGAGATACTTTCCCCAACACTATGACCTTCTGGGTCCGTACCACTGAGATCCCGACTCACTTCTGGATGGATGCAATCTTCAGAAGAATTGGAAGCTCCCTTGGGGAAGTCCACAAAGTTGAAGAAAGAGCTGCAAAATTCCAAGTTACAATAAACGTGGATGAACCCTTAAGCTTTGAAAAGAAAGCGCAACTACCGTTAGGGGAAATCGTCTGAGTCTTGCTCAAATACGAAAAATTATTCCATTGGTGCTTCACCTGCTTCCACATCTCACATGAAGAGAGATCGTGTCCCTTGCTCACTGAAAAACAGAGAAAAGAAAAGAGAGAGCAGCGAGAAGCAGCAAGGAACCCAGATTTCAGAGCTAGGATGGACGAAGCAAGACACCAACCTGACACCCCTGTCAACGGACAAGCTGGAAGTAGCCAATATCCCTCTCGTATGAGGAGACACGAAGAAGAGTTTATCTTGGAAACCAGAAGAACTTACAGACCCCCGTCGATATCTCAACACGAGCCCTTCCGTTCTCAGCCCAGAAACCAGCCCAGAAACGAGCACCAGGAGCGTGACAGTGTATGGAGACGTATTGAACAACCTTCTGATTACTGTCGCGATCCACGCCACGGGCCTCCGGTCACCTCAAACCCTCGACACCGGGAAGCTGAACTCGTTCCTGAAGCCTCACATCAAAAGAGAAGATTTGTAGATTCCATCACTAAGAGGAATGTGGTCCGTGAGCAAAAGAATCAAGCCCCTCCAAGAGAAAACAGGAAGAGCGCACATCCGCTGGTGCTGGTAACTCAAACCACGACTCTGACTCTGGCCGTACTATATCTGAAATTCCACGAGCCCGCCAGCCAACAAGACAGGCCTATGCTTCACCAGACCATCAGAGGGACCGGCCATTCCGCTTAAATCTACAAAAGAAATCGGGTCAAGTCTCAATGGACAAAGGAAAAGGCATCGACAAAGGAGACTCTTCCGAGACAGGGAGCTCAGCAAAAAAGAGTCTGGCCTTTGAAGTCATGGGACCCGACGTAGCAGAGACGAACAGAGCCCAGCATAACGTCTCCCCGAAACCTCCAGCTTTTGCAGAAATAAAGAAAAATTGGTATGAACAAACGGTGGCGGAAGAAGAAGAAGGGGAAGAAGAAGAGGAAGATGAGGGTGAGGGGTTTTACCCGTGGGAAAAGGAGATAACAAAATCCCCTCGGACGGAGGAGGCTGACGGAGAAGCTGAAGGTCTGAATCGCGGAATTCAGAAACCCCCGGCGGAGGGAGACATAGACGACCTGGGATCAATCGGAGACGAAGACTGGATTGATGATGACGACCTCCTTGACGAGGAGCCCTGGCAGCGCCCTGAGTTAACCCTCGAAGAGATCTTCGAAGATGACCCCATGGTAGACGCTATGGGAACGGTGTTTAAAGATCCAAGCCCTATGGAGGAAGATGAAACGGTTCTCGGCGAGGCGGAAGAGGAGCTGATGGAGGTGTCTCAGGAAATTTCTCCGATGCAGGTTTCCATGGAACCAAAAGCAGAGCCGCCGAAGAAGAAGGCGTCACCGGGCCGGAGTAGGCTGGGGTTCTCGTCGAAGAAGAAGCTGTTGGTGAAGGGCCGTTCATCGCCAAAAGTGAAAGCAAGAGCTTCTGGGTCTGGGCCAAGTGCCAACAAAGTGGAGGGTGGGCCCATAAAGAAGAGTAATGGGCCGCCAAGGAAGAAAATTAGCCCCAAGATCAACCAAAAACCCAAGGACCGAGCCTGGTCAAGGGAGTGGGCCAAAATCAACCAAATGAATGTCCTAGCTTAGAATTGTCAAGGTGCCGGTGCCGACTTGACAAAAGAGCATCTACGGGAACTGCACCGCGTTTACAAACCCAGCTTTTTATTTTTATCGGAGACTAAGAATAATCGTTTTTTCTGCAAAACTTGCAAGTCCTTTTTTGCTACGACCATGTCTGTACCGTGGAGCCACGAGGCAGAAGCGGCGGTCTAGCACTGTTTTATATGGATGATCCAAAATCTGTTATTTCCTATTCGGATAATCGTATGATCGATATTGTAACCTCGTTTGAAGGACATAAAGTATTTATGACTTTTATTTATGGAGATCCGGTCGCAGAGTACCGCAGAGAAGTTTGGGAATGTATCACTAGGCTAGGGAAAAACCGCTATGAAGCATGGTTTATGATAGGTGACTTTAATGAGATTACGGGTAATCACGAGAAGAGAGGGGGAAGGAGGAGAACAGAAGCTTCTTTTATCCCGTTTCACACGATGCTTGACGATTGTGGGATGTTAGATTTTCCCTTCAAGGGAAACTCCCTCTCCTGGGTTGGGAGACGGAGTTCCGGCAAA